CTTCTTTCAGTAGAGAAAACAAATGGACATGCGTAATAGAATTAATTTCACATCATTTTTTTTTCAATAGTAATAATAGATGGCAAATATCGTATGTATTCTTTCAGTCATTTGCGTAGATGAATTTAAGAAGAATATTTTTTTCTGTGAAATTTCAACCAATAAAACTAGTTCAACAAAAGAAATAAATATATCATTTATTATTAGCTTTTAGTGACCTGATGAAAAATTGTATACTATCAAATAAATGCATAAAATAACTTTGAAATAGTTCCTCTTTGTAGGATATAGATTTCAAAGTATCTCTTATGGATTTCAGAGAGAAAAGTATCAATTAAGATAAATCATGTGTTATTTATCTAGAACAATGTCTTATATCGTTTATGTTGTGTCAAGATATAATGAAATACAAAAATTATTTTTTACTCATTTTCGATGATGATGTTGAGTGACATTCTTGACTAATGAAGATCCTATTCAAATTAGTTGGATTTATTCAAAATATATTTTTACAAGATAGGTAAATAGAAAATGCTAGATGTTTGACTAACATTTGAATTGCTTTTTGATCTCTGCTGATGTTGTTGACAACAATGTATTCCAAGAGATTGTCTAAAATTTTTGTTAAACCAACTATATATAAAAGGATTATAACAACAACTGTTGATAGCAAGCCAATAGAAAATGGAATATACTGTCGATGCATTACATTTATTACTATTTGATTGATATAATATTGATGTTCGATTCAAAGAATAAAAATCATTTAAATTCATTATATGAATTGGTAGCCAACATAATGCAAAAACCAACAAAATGATAATCAAGATTTTCATGGTTCGTTGTTTCGACTCATTACATAGTACATTCGATTCTCCAACAGCTGATCTTCTCGAAATAGTACGCACGCATAAGGTATATAACGAGGTTGTTATTAGTAAAGGAATGAAATAGAAACAAACAGCCAATATGGTCACACGTATTTTACGAAACAGAATACTGGATATAGGTAGTACATTGGCAAATAAAACTCGACATCCAATTAGATCTTGAGATGATAGAAAATATTCTGAGACTTTCATTGATATGAGGCATGAAGCGGCAAACAATGCGGATAACAACCATACGACTAAAAGAGAATACTTCGGTTTTAAACGTTTATTTGATGATTGAAGAGGATTGTGTATTAAATAATAACGATCTATTGCAATGACGACCATAGTTAATATTGATACGTTATATGTAAGAATTTGCATGGCTTTAAATACTACACACAAATGTGGACCGATTATAAACTGTTCAAGTAAATAATACGAGCAAAATAGAAATTGAAATGGAATAGTCGTAGCTGATAAGAGATCTGAAAGTGCTAAATTAGCCAGATAAATATTTGTAGTACTTATTGATCGACTAGCCGCTTTCTTTTTTTGTAAGAAAACTACTTTGAATACTAACAGATTGCCAAGTACAGCAATAATGAATGTCAATGAGTATAAAGTCAATATAAAACCATCTAGTAATACATGATTAGATACGGTGATGTTACCAGTAATGTTTGACATTTGCTTTTGTGTATATTATGAGAATAATGTCATCATTACGTGTTTTTCGCATGAAGAAATAACAACATGGAAAACGGAAGAAAAAAAAAGGAGAAGCAGGCCAATAAAAAATATATTACATGACACATCAGAGAAAGAAAGAACGAAAGAAATGAGTAGACTGATTGAGTAGAATGATACAATTTTTTTAATATTCATAATTTATTGTGCTATACTTAGGTTCACAAAAAAAAAAGGAAAAGTGACATCAGAAAGAGAAAATAGTTAATTATTAGATAGGTAACGACGTCAATCACACCTCCACATACATATCAAGAATACACGCACAGAAGTATAAAAAAAAAAGAAATACTTGAGATCATAAATCAAAAGTTATGATTATAGAAAAATGAATAATATAATTGAAAAGATTAAGTAAAAGTATTTTTTTACAGCTGAATCTACACAGCTATGGTGGCATTATAGAATATTTATATGTAAATACATTTAATAAAATGGTTGAATTTTTGAAATACTCATATTGCTTATATTGGATGTTTTCAAATTCTAACCAATCCATTCTACTATGTTGTGTCCTAGTCGCTAATCTTGTTAGAAAAGTGTTATTTTTTCTCAACTTCATAGATTTATACCAACTCTTATTAGAGACTGTAGCAATTAAATATGCTGTCCAGATGTTTTGATAACAGAGCTTCTTCTGCTGTCTCTAAATGCAAAGAAAATTTCCACAAATAGGAATAAAGGTAATCACGAAGGTATTTTTCTTGACTAAGAGTTAATGTTGTAAAATCATCCCAATAATGCAACGAGTAAACCAATCTAAGACCAGAACAATAAACATGTTCAATTTGTTCCTTTTGTTTCTCAGTTAGAAAAAAATCGTATGCAAAAAATTCAAAAAAAAATGTGGTAATGCATAAGCTAGAAAAATGTTTCGTCTCATGTTAATATCATTTTTCAGTATTCTATGAAAAAAAATCTCCAACCGCATCTAGATGCAAGAAATGTTTCACTGGAGACGCGGTTCCAAACCAAATTGCGGTTAGACGCGGTTTAATTTCGAATCGCGTCTAACCGCGTGCGATTTGATATTTCAAATTTTAAAAAAATATTACAATCCGTCTCAGGTTTGATCTGAGTCGCCATCGATATCCTCTAACGATAGTCTTTACCTCACTATAGGCGAACGGAATGTTGAAATGTTAACTTATCTAAAACGATAGAAATGAGATTAGAACAAGTGAACTAGCGATTTAGAAGTAAGTATACGTGCCAGGAAGCCACATGTGATCACAATCATTGTCGAATGAAACAGAAAGTATATATGAATCGTGACTTCATACCTATATGTACATAATGTATTTATCAATAGAACGTTTCCTACCAAATTTATATCTCGTTTGTTAGTGTTTATATTCTTGTATGAAAATAAACTTGCATAAAATAAATTGCATATATTAAAATTTCTTTAAAATTTTTGAAAAATTTTCCTTTCGCAAATAATTTTCATTTATTTTGTTGTAAAAGACTATTACTTATAATATTAAATACTGCCTATCTTTTAGAACTGATTATATAGTTATTTTATTTCATCAAATATCATTCACTTTTTTCGTTTTCCTTTTTTATTATATAAAAGAGTATTTAGCAAAGCTTTTCTTCAAATCACGTTGACATAAAAAGATAATTTTTAATTTCTAAAGTGTCTTCTTCTTTGAGTTTTTAGCAAATATATACACGCCAGTAGAGCACTAAGTGTAGAGTTTGCAATTTTATTTCATATGTGCACGTGATGGATAATTTAGAGACGATGTTGTATGTCTAGAAAATGTAGAAAAGTGATTTGCCTATCAGATTTTCTATTTGGGTTTGAATATTTTCTTGTGTATCTTCCTTCCGTAACAATATAAAATGGAAACAACACATATGATTCAAAATGAACTGAACACTACGCCACCCACAACATTTAAACACTAGAAGTACAATTATTTTATGACAAAGTATATTTTATCCTTCAAACAAAGTTCAAATTGAGTACATAATTTATAATTTCAATTTCAAAAAGATTTTTTTGATAAAAAAGTGAAAATAAATTTTCTCTTTCGTCTTTTAGAGAAGACTTTGTGATCTATGGTTTGATGCAAAGCTAGTGTATATTTATCATCTATTTTGAAAACAGGCTATCGATTAATAGAAACAGTGCTGAGTGGAGAGATATTCTCATTATACTAATGGTCACTCATATAACTTTTTTGATACATTAAAAAAGTGAAGTTTCTAAAGAAATTTATTCATGTTGCAATAAAAACATCCTTCTCTTATACATGAAGTATCTAAACCTTGAAACTAAACATTTCTTTCTATTCTTGCCAAGTGTGACCGGAATGCAGATAATAAAATTTTATGTCTTCCTTTACATAGTTTTTGGTAAATCGCGTACAGACGCAGTTTCATGTAAAGTCACATTCAAGCGTATGTAAACAATTTTTATTACCCGCGTAGAAACGCGGTTTCATAAAAAAAACGCGTTTTCATTTATAATCGCGTCGAGATGCGTTCGAAAATTTTCTTCAGCTGCATCTGAACGCGGTTTACAACAAAACCGCGATTACACGCGTATATTTTGCGTCTCGTATTTATATGGGCAGCACGTAAACAGATAAACAAAGGAAAGATAACGAATTCAAATAGATAGATCTAACAGTTGATGATAAAAGAATGGTGACCGTTCACTTCGTCGCACGACACTTCGTCGCGTTCACTTCGTCGCAATCATTTCGTCGCACGATCACTTCGTCGCATAACATTTTGTCGCGTTCTGTTCGTCGCAGAAAAAAAATTCTTTCGTTCTGTTCGTCACAGAGTAATTACTCTCGTTCTCTTCCTTTCTACTTGTTGTATCTCACTTAATTAATGAATTTTTTTTGTACAACCAATTGAAATAAAATAAATGAAAAATTCTATGAAATATGTACAATTAAAATAGACAAATGATAATTCCAACAATAATAACTCTAATTGAGAAAGCGGATCAATACGAATATTCATATATAATCGCAACGGGTCTAAAGCGAACGATGAATAATTAGATTTGTTACTCGGTTAATCAATTTTAACATAATCCAGACTAAAGATAAATAATAAAATAATATTCTTAAATATGAAGCCAGAAAAAAAAATACATTTCATTTTTCAATATCAACTCTCACTGCGAACTACTCTTTAATCAAAATCTCTCAAATCGAAAAACTTCTTTCTGTAAAATGAAAACCAATAATTCATCACGAAGATTACATCTACACTGTAGAACGTACGACATCGACGAAATTGATCTTTCGTTGTCAGAATCGAGATTGTAAAGGTAAGTTAATATTTACTATCAGTCAATTAAACCAAAAATTATTGATCTATTAAGCTCGATGTCATACCAATTTATCTATGGATGTATTTCTCTCACAACCAACAGCCCACTGTCATGCTCCTCAACCTGATCGTGTGCCTGCTATTCAATTAAAAAATGAAATTAAAGCTCGTGCCGTAACAACAGATGAATCAACCAGCTCCATTATTCATTCTGCTTTGCGTACGTATCCGTTGAGTGCTGCTGGTGAACTTCCAAAAGATGAAGCACTTATGCTAATGATTCGACGACAGCGTACTGTTGAAACAGTCGATGCCGATGGTTGTTTACCAGAAAAATTAAGAAAGACGTATCGCGATGAAGACTTCATCTTGCACGAAGACAAAAATTTAATTATCTTTACAACAAGAAAAAATTTATCGATTCTGAAGCAAAATAAACATTGGTTCGCTGATGGAACATTCAAAGTAAGCTATCAATTAAAAGTTTATATCTTTTTTTTTCTAATTTTCTTTGACGTAGGTGTGTCCTGATGATTATTATCAATTATTCACGTTACACGCGATGATGACTAATGCAATTATCCCTTTTGTCTATGCATTATTAATTGGTAAAAGTGCTCAAGATTACAATTCATTCTTCGAAAAAGTATTAGTACAAGACAATTTTCAACCTGAATCAATTATGACTGATTTCGAAACTGGTACAATCAAATCCGTTAGAGAAATGTTGCCAAACGTTTTACATAAAGGTATTTTGTAATATTGTCAAAAAACAAGTAATCAAAATGTTTGTTATAGGATGTTTCTTTCATTTTTCGCAAGCGATATGGCGGCAAGTTCAAGGAAAAGGATTGGTGACAAAATATAGAGAAGATGAGTACTTTCGTTTAAATGTAAAAAAATTGATTGCTCTTGCCTTGGTTCCAGTAGATGAAATTACAACCGGCTTTGACTTAATTGCCAATCAATTCGACGATGACGCCGATGATTTACTTGATTATTTTGAAAAAATATGGATTGGTGAACCAAAAAGAAGAGGTAATTTTTTTTTCTTCATTCTTAAAAAATATGAAATATAATCGACTTTCTTAGGAACTGGTCGAAAGAAGCCTCAATTTGATCACAAATTATGGAATATGCATGATCGTGTCGTCGCTGCTGTACCTCGTTCGAACAATTCGGTGGAAGGCTGGCACAATGCATTTGCGAACCGCGTCGCAATCAATCATCCAAATATCGTGAAATTGGCAGAGAAAATTCGTCGTGAACAATCGAAATTCGAAGTGGACATGGCGAAGATTCTCCAAGGTCATGATATTAAGATGAAGAAGGCCTGCTATCGACGATTGGACGAACGAATTACTGGGCTGGTCAATGCATTTGACTCATCTCAACTGGATCAATTCTTAACAAATATGGCAGCCAACATTAATCTTTAGGTAATGTTTTTCTTAAAATTATTTTGTTTTCTTTAGGTTACTTTTTTCCTTTCTTTTTTCTCTTTTGTTTTTTTTGTTTTTTTCTTTCTTTTTTTTGTTTTTTTTGTTCTGAATTTGTTCATCATTATGTTATGTATAATACACAAAATAAAGGTGAGTTAATTGATCAATTTCACATCTTTGAAAAGAAAATTAATTAAGAGAGATGCGACGAATAGATAGTGACGAGCACAGCTAAAGAAATTTTTCTGCGACTGACAGAACGAAAGAATTTTTTCTGCGACGAACAGAACGAAAGAATTTTTTTTGCGACGAACAGAACGCGACAAAATGTTATGCGACGAAGTGATCGTGCGACGAAATGATTGCGACGAAGTGTCGTGCGACGAAATGTACTAGCGCCAAAAGAATTAGTCGTTCTCTTTCGTTTCCACGCCATCTTAAGCAAACGTCAATGCAAGCGAATAATAAGTTTAATAATTCTCGTGTTGGTCAAAGAAAAGAGCAGTTTATTTTTAGTTTTATCAACGCATAGTAAAAGTCAATTCACATTTGAAAGTGAAACAGAGGCATCAAAACACGAATGGCAACTGCAAAAGCACAAGCGAATGCGCTCGATAATTACGAATATATGGATGAGAATTCCATCGACTCTGAACTGAAATGTTCCCTTTGCATACAACCGTTTCAATCGCCTGTCAGTGCAACATGTGGTCACACATTTTGTCAAGTATGTATCAGTCAATGGGTCGCTCGTCAATCAACATGCCCAACTTGTCGTATTAAGACGTCCATGGAGGAATTTCGACCGATTTCGACTCGTATTGTACTTAATCAACTTGATAAACTTCTCGTGGGTTGTAAACGATGCAATCAAATGAATATTCAACGAGGTAACATCAATGAACATGAAAAACAATGTCCTAATCAAACAGTTTCGTGTCCGGCATTCGATATCAAATGCACGTGGAAGGGCACACGTGATGCGTCGACAGAACACATACAAGAATGTCCGTTTCAAAAAATTCGTCCAGCAATCGATGATATTTACGAACATTTAAAGAATATTTATGAACCATTGGTAGATGAACTACAAACAGTTCGACAGCAGTTAGAAAAGCAAATGCAACGTAACAGTGAACAAAATCGATTTCTTCTTGCAGTGTGCAACAAAGGCAAGCCGATGACTGACCGATGTTCCGATCAATCTCGTTATTGTCAGTTACAGCAAAGCATTCAAATGAACGCGGGGAATCAAAGGATGCAACAAAAGCAGCTGTTAGGTGCAGTAAAAACGTATCAAAAGCAATTCGTGTCAAATCAGATGCCGATAATGAAACTCGATAGATTCGATCAACCATTTGTGTCGCCTGAAGAGCAATACGGAGAGAATTCTCCAACAAATACTCCATTTTATTGCGCTAGTTGTCAAAATGCTTTTGATGCCAGCGACATATCACTTCATCATTGTGACGGTGGGTGTATTTGCCGCATATGTGTCGAAAACTATGGTAGTTTAGACTAATATGAACAAAACCTCACTGATACACCTTAGTTTTCAATTTTTTTATATTGAAGACAATAGAATTCATGAGCATTGAAGTTATAATACTTTCGATAAGATTTAATAATAATAAAGAGCATTCGAAGATAAAATGAATATTGTTGTAGATGATCAAGGCTGTCTCTTCTCATCAACTTGTTCTGATTATGTCATACAAAACTATGTCTCAAACATTGACGATTGATCTATAACATATTCATTTCGAACAACTTTTCATTTGTTCACTGGTACATTTGAACACAGAAATGACATATCATTTATCAATATCGCGATGTAAATTTTCTTCGAATGATGCTAGGTCATAGCTTGAATGGTTTTATCGTTCTTGTATCAAATCGACAGAAATAGATCATTAATCGAATTCAAGCAACATGTAAAAATACGATTTCCAAATGTTTATAAGAACGATAGTATCTTGTTAACAGGCGGCATGATCAAAACATGTCGAAACAATATGAAACTATACAGAAACTTAAAAATAATTAAAAAATAAATTACATGATTTTAATTAAAAGCAAAATTCATTGCATTTTCTATATTAAAATATCGCTTGTAATGAATTTATAATATATGGATTTCTATGTCCTTTTTATCAACTGCAGTGCAATTTTTTACTTGTGTTTTTGACACAAACTTCACGGTGATCATGAATAGTTTTTACTTTTTTTTTCAATTCGTGGGTATGCATCAACACTGCTTCTAACATTTAGTTCAGTATCAATATCGTCAATGTCATAGGTCGATCATCTACATATTGTCTTACTGTTGACTTGGCTGCATTTTCGAAAGTGAAAAAAACCCATTGTTGACAGTCAACAAACTTTTCTTTTTTGCACAAAGAAAAGGCAGCAACTCAAGTGTTGTTTGACAAGAGTATCGTCATTCCTGTGAAAAAAAGAGGAGAACTTATTGACAGCAAGTGGTTTTTGTTTGATGTCAATAGGTGATTCATGTAGTGTAAATGACATGTGTCATTCTTCCTATAAGATCAAGTATGAAACCCAACTTGTTAATGTTAGTCTTGCCCAAATGAGAAATTTTCCAGGAATAACACTGTAAATGTCATAAGAAAAAGTGACTCTAATTTCATCCTCGTCTGTATGAATCATTTTCTCCGTCAGCAAATCAAAGTTCTGTAGTAGAAGACATAGTATCAAATTACATCCATGTTCGACAGACCATTCTTGAATTAACGACAGAGAATGATTGAAAAGCAAAAATTATTGATCTCGAAAAGTCTCATTTCGAATCGATGTTGATCGTTCAGGAAGAAAATGTGTTTACTTTGATTCAATGAACGACTCGATCAAATGTGTTTTAAAAGTCGATTGGATAATCTTTGTGGCATTGACCCTCTTGTCGTTGAAAAAAAGTCAGCGCAAAACAATCTGAATAAGAATCATGGTCTATTATATAATTTCGAATCTTTGATACAAGGATTATTGTTATGCAAAGATACACTGACGAAAACTAATCACTGAACAGAGAAGTATTTGTTCCGATACCAGGCCATCATCTTTTGACTGATTTCGACGGTCTACCCTCTGTTCTCTTTGCTATCAAAAACCAGCATTTTCGAAGTCACTCCTGTATAATTATGTTATCATTTCTTTATCTTCACTTCTCTAATGAACTGGCTTCGTAGTCGTCCTATATTTTTCGAAAAAATGAAGATTCTTTTGACAAAAGTCGTATATTCTTTAGAATAGTGACTTGTGTACCGATTTCAATATTCTCAATACCGTATATAACAAAACCCGTAGATGATAGCGGCATATACATATGTATATACTGCTCGTTTTCCTTTGTTATCAAGATGATTAAGCTGTGATGTAATGGTTTTTTTTTGTTAATGCGGTAAGAAGCACAGTATTTATGTAGTCCTTCGCGTATGTATCCAAAGTCCATAGTTTGAGTTGTGATGATCTCGAGATCGGTACTTCGTCGAATACTCGTTGAAACGACATTAGACGTTTTGCGATCTGAATACGATCCAAATTTTGTCCGATTTTCTCCGGAATGTATTGTTCTACTCAGAGTAAAATTCGGATATTTTAAATAATCTACGGATTGTATTTCATTGTGTTGATATAATGAAGCGAGACTTGGCGGTCATCCTAGCAGTACGCATCAGATACTACAGTTTGCATTATATAAACCAAATAAGAGTTTTTTTTTGTGATATTTATTCAGATTGGTTTTGTTTATAATTATATGAATATGCTTGTGTAAAACAATTGAAAATAAATCGAAGATCCTATTGTTTTGTATTTCTTCGGAGAAAATTATTTTGTTTCATTGTGTTTCACAATTCGAAGAAATTTTTTTGATTAGGGTGTGGGTTCATAGGCGAAAAAAAGCATATTCACACCCACACTCACACCCTAAGTGAATCGATTAATATTGAGAATGTGCATATGTGTGAGTGGTGTCTGCATCAACACCCATATTTTATTTCGCGTGCGTTTTCTGGAATAGGTTTCATAACGTTCAATAATAACTCATTTATTTTCTGTGTTCCCAGTCCAATAAACAAATGCGCCGTAATTTTAACGAAAATAAAATCATCAAAAGCGCATGCATTAACGTGTTAAATTTTGGAACGAATATATATTCTTGCGGAAGTTTTAATGCGTTTCCAGCAAGTGACAATGTGCACTTTTCATGACTTTATTTTTGTTCAAAATGCTTAACACGTTTATCTACTGAACTGAGTAAATTACTAGTGGAAATAGCCTCATTCATAGACTTAGTTTAGATGAGTTCTTAGTTATTTTAAGCTTGTTATCATCTTATAGCAACCCTGTAATAATTAAGAAATCACTTAAACTATTTTTCCAGCAAACTATGTTCATGGATAGGTTTATTTTCTCTAGTAATTTACTCAGTTCCAAAACCAAACGTTTAGTAACGCGTGAAACTGTACGATAAAAACTATTCTAATTACAAGAATCTCATCTAGCCGCCAGATATTATGCGGTAGTAAGATGTCTACAAAAAAAAAGGTAAGTTTCGAGTCCATTTTGACATTTTTTTGTAAAAAATTTCACGCTAAACAAACATTAAAGATACATCTAACAAAACCATCCAAATTTTCTTCACCAAACTGCTATCATCAATAAAATGATGCGTTATTGGAAAACATTTTATTAAGTATTAAAATAATTTTACTACATGTATTTTATTTAGTTGAACGCTAAATTAGTTTCAAACGTCAGTTTTTATATAATTCAAATAAAAGAAAAGATTATCTAATGAGAAATTATTCTAAGATCGTTTTCAATAAAGCAGGTTCTTGTTATAATGATAGCAATTAATTTCGAATAATAATATAGATATTACTCTCTGAATATATACTTTCAATCTCTGTTCAACTTTAGCTACTGAAAAAAAAATGAAACGAGTTAGAAACTTGTGAAACATCGTGTACATAATCGAAACTTATTAATAAAAACTAACTAATGCTATTCGCTTCTTCTTTATCGCTGCTGACGTAAATAGAGAAACTAAAAAAAATAATTCTATACGTCTCTAGACAACGAAAAGAAAGACAGAAGGCTAAGATCAATGATAATGATCAATTGCTTTAAATATAATTAGGTTGTTTAATCATAGTCACGAGTTTCAATGAAAGTACTAAAATTGAAAGACTGACTTAGATTCAGCCCCTCACATGAGAATATTCATCTATCAACTATATCAGTTCTTAATAGGCTATACGAAGAAAATACAGTAAAACCTCTCTAATGTGAACACTGTTGGGACTTTTCAAAAGCGTTCACTACAGGAAGGTGTTCACCTTAGAGATGTGACGCACATTTTGCTGTGAAATGAAGAAAAAAAACCAGAATATCTACTGCTACACTAGACTTGAGCTAAGTGGGAGCTATTTATTTATTTTTGTTTAAACGCTTTTTTGTCTGAAAAATTTTCAGATACAAGATATGGTTTAGCTTTGTTCAAAGCAAATCTTCTAATGTTGCTTGTCTTTTTGTTTTTGAATTAATATAAACATCAGTCAATTTTGTGCTTTACGTTTTAATACATTTGATACAGAACCAAGTGAAATATTATATTCTGCAGCTAATTTACGTTGAGGATGGGTGTGGGTGTGGATATGAGTGAAGAGACAATAAACACCCACACCCACCCCAAGTGTCCATGTTCAGAATAGAGAGGTGTATTTCCAGCAAAAATCGCTCCATCGGATCTGAGAGTATTCAGAATAAGGAGGTGTTCACTAATAGAGATTTTACTGTATATTATTTTAGAGAGATTACAAACTCATGAAAATTTGAAATGTATTGCCAACAGAGGTCACCCAAATAAAACTCATAAAAACAAGTTTTTTCTTATTTCAATAGCTTCATAATAGATTTATATTTTTCTATGCTTGTCTACGCAGAAAATATTATTTTGAATATGCTGTGCAACTCTGGTATAACTCATTGCAAAACAAAACGAAGAAATTACTATACATATGATTGGTTGAAAATATTATCTAATGCGAAATATGTAAATTCTATTGTAGAATAGGAGTGAAGAAAAAAAAAGTGAGATATTCTCAGATTTTGATGCATAATTAATTTAATCCTCTAGTCGAATCGAAAGCAACAGATGTGCAGTAACAAGCACAAGGACTTTTTCATTCTCTCAATAAATAGAGAGGAGTGGTGTTAGTCAGAAAATATAAAATACGTGTCGTTACGCTTCAACTGATCCTCCTTAGTTAGTAGAGTGGTTTTTTTTAACCAAATGCTGCAAAAAGGTAGTTACTTTTGTCGTTGTATTATTGTGAAGTATGTTTTTTCTTTTTCAATAATATTAAATACTAATATTTTCTATACTAAATTTATTCTTAATCATTTTTTAATCATATAAGTTTCCAAAATTTTCGGTACTGATTCATCTTGAAACAAAATTTAAGCTAATCGTAATAGATGAATTTGTTTAAATTCGTTGACTCACTTGAGAAACGATGAATCATTATTGAACATAATAAAATCTGTTTAGAAAAATACTCGTAGAAATTTGTTTTCTTAACTGCTATTTCCGCATTAATATACGTTTTAGTCTTTGAATCTAATAAAATTTATTACAATAGGACTGCAAACGAGTAAATCTAGGAAAATTTTATGCGTTTTACCGTGTTAGTGGTATCTGAGCACGTTAAAAACGTATAAATTTTTTCTAGACTTTCACGTTGTTACCCATTTGGATGACAGATCTTACGATTTTTCGTCATGTCCAAAGGTATTAACGTGGAACGATCAGCTAAGAAAATATTTTTTCGCTCTTTTCTAAGACAATTGAACTTATTTCAAGCGATTTGTCTCTTGAAATTCATTTCTAGCATATCTTAAAATATATTTTTTGGCAACTTATTAAATTTTTTTTTCGTATAGCTAGTTAAGAGTTAATATAGTTGGTAGATCGTCAAACCAAACGAACGGCTGAATGCAAATCAATTTTTAAATATTTAATACTTTTATCAAAACCTTCTATTTCGACATAGGCAATGCAGATACACGTGAAGCGATCGAACGCATTATCGATAATGTCAGTCTTTCTATTTATTGTATAGAGCAAAATAGAATTGTAATTTGTTTAGTTTTTCTATTCAAGCTAGCAGAGATATGAGTGAAGGAGTTTCGAGTCCATTTTGATTTAGTTTTGTAATTTTCGAATCTACAAAGTTGAACAGATATAGATGATACATGTTTAAAAATAACACTTAAAGTTATCATTGAAAATTCATTGTAATCAACTAATATTCTTAGTGAGAAGATAGATATTATTCATAAAAACGTTAAAATTATTTTATTAAACTTGTTTGTTTTTCATCCTTTTCCATTATATTTTTATTTTAATCATACAAAAAAATAATGTCTGAATCTATTTTAGCATTAGACTCTATAAGAACATGATGATAAAATTGACTCACAATGAGTGTATGGCTAAGATTTCTCTCATTCTATCAAAAAAAAATGAGTCGAAAATAAATTTGATAAATACATTTTAACATATTTTCTAATAAAACACTTTCTTAATAATGCTGTCAACCGAATATAATCAATTTTATCTGATAGTTTAGATGTTGCAAATACATATTTTATATGTCTGTTCAAGTTCATATACTCGAAAAATATAAAAAAGCTTGAAAATGGTCTGAAACCTATAAAACAATCTTTATATTTGTTACAAACGTTTGATTTTCGAGTTGAGTGCATTCCGAGAGAGATTTCAAGAAACGAAAATTTCAGAAATATAATTGCTCTCTCTCTCTAGGGATACACTTAATTCAAAAACAGAATGCTTAAAAACGTGTTAAACTTCTTGAACGAAAATATATTCTCGTTCGAAAACTTTAACTGAATTTGAAGACATAAAAATGTGCGCTTTTTACGATTTTACTTTAGTGAAATTTCGACATATTTTTATGCCGATTGTTTTTTCATTATTTCTTTGACTAGGAAGCGCAGAATAAATTCAGTTATTCTCGTTTTAATCAACGAAAAGAGCAGTTTTGTTTTTTAAATTTTTATTAGCGCATAGCAAAAAGCTGTTAGTGCAAACCCTGTAGGGCTAAAATATGAAAAACGATGTCCCTGTTATTGCTAACTACATGCAATTTCTTTTATTCAGTTGATTCTAGCATATATTTCTTCATCACCGTTTCTTTAATCATCCAGAACTGTAATAAGGAAGTAGTTCATATATTCTAATGATAAATGTAAGGTCTATGATGGTCTTTGAAGATCGTCTGTCACGATCTGTACATTTCAACACTCATTTTAGATCGTGTTTCACAAAATTAATTTATATTTGGAATTCAAATAGAGATATCAAAACGTAAATGGCAACTGCAAAAGTACAAACGAATGGGCTCAATGATTATGACTATATAAATGAGACTGCCATCGACTCTGAACTGAAATGTTCCCTTTGCATGCAACCGTTTCAAGTACCTGTCAGTACAACATGTGGTCATACATTTTGTCAAGCATGTATTAGTCAATGGGTCGTTCGTCAATCAAAATGTCCCACTTGTGGTACTAGAGCATCCATAGAGGAATTTCAACCGATTTCGACTCGTATTGTACTTAATCAACTTGATAAACTTCTCATGCGTTGCAAACGATGCAATCAAGTGAATATTCAACGAGGTAACATTAATGAACATGAAAAACGATGTCTCAATCGAACAGTTTCATGTCCGGCATTCGATATCAAATGTACGTGGAAGGGCACACGTGATGCATTGACAGGACACATTCAAGAGTGTCCGTTTCAAAAAATTCGTCCAGCAATCGATGATATTTACGAACAATTAAAGAATATTTATGAACCATTGATAAATGAGCTACAGACAATTCGACAGCAGTTAGAAAAGCAAATGCAACGTAACAATGAACAAAATCGATTTCTTCTTGCAGTGTTCAACAAAGGAAAGCCGATGAGTGATCGATGTTCAGGTCAACCTCGACATTGCCAGTTACAGCAAAGCATTCAAATGCATACGAAAAGTCAAATTATGCAACATATACAGGCTCCAGTCTCACGAATATTTAAAAAGTCAGCTCTCTCACAACAGTTGCAGGCAACGGAATTCCAAAGATTGGCTGAATCACCTACGTCACCCGAGGAACACTCCGAAAGAAATTCTCTAATAAATAGTCCATTGTGTTGCGCTAATTGCCAAAATGGTGTTGATCCTAGCGACATACAACTTCATCATTGTGAAGGTGGTTGCATTTGTCGTTCATGTGTCGAAAAATATGGCAGTTTAGATGAACATGAACAAAACCTCACTAATACATCTTAATTGTCTATATTTTTTTTAATACTGAAGATAATAGAATTCATGTGTATTGAATTCATAATATATTTGATAAGAATTATATTAATAATCGAGAACTTTCGAAGAAAAAATAAACACTATTCTAGACGATCAATGTTGTCTCTTTTTATTCAGTTATTCTAATTGTGCCATGGAAATTTATCTTTCGAACATTGACGATTGATTCATAACACATTCTATTTCGAACAACTTTTCGTTTGGTCTCTTATTTTTCTCGACACAGAAATGATATGTCATTCATCGATATCACAATGTAAATTTTTCTTGAATGATGCTAGGTTATAGTTTGAATGGTCTATGATTCTTGTATCAAATCGATAGAAACAGATCGTTATTTGAACTTAAGCAACATGTAAAACACGATTTCTGAATCTTGAGAAGAACAATAGCATCTCATTAAAGAATGGCATGATCGAACCATGTCGAAACAATTTCAGACTACGCAAGAACTTAAAAATCGAAAAAGGAAATAATCAATTCTATTATCTTGATTAAAAGTCAAATTCATTGCATTTTGTTATATTAAAATATGGTTTTGAATTAATGAATTTTTATGTTTGTTTCATCATTCGTAATGATATTTTGTTACTTTTTTTCAGTCCATAAACGTGTTAATATTAGTCCTTTTCAAATGAGAAACTTTCAAAGAATAACACTGTGAATGTCATAAGAATTTCTTCGCCAGAGAATCAAAGTTCAGTACTGGAAGATTTGTTTTTAAGTCAGTCCCATATTCGATAGATAAATTTCGAACAAATAATTGAAGAGCAAAAATTATTAATGTTTAAAAGTCTCGCTTCCAATCAATATTGTTTGTTTGGAAAGAAGATTTTGTTTTATTTTGACTGGAAGAATGAACTAATAAAATGATTGTGAAAGTGAAATGTTCATTTCTTCAGGTAGCTTCATTATAAAAAATCTGCAGTTATGTTGAATCCATTTTCCCCCATATCGCGTACAACTTTTTCAAATAATCGTTTGTCCCTTGTTGCGATTCTTGTTGATCCTAATAAGAAAAAACACATCACTAAAAACTAACATGATATCAAATGATGACAAATAACATTTATACGTCATAATATTTCATAATGTCTATTATTTGCAACTTTTATCCAAAAATTCCTTAGATTGGAAATTATTTCTAACTAAGATTTTGATTATTCTACATCGTTTACATCTCTGCTATATTAGTGTCAAAATGAATTTATTAGTCATGACTAATATGAGACTAAGCTTGTTGCGGTGTGCGGGACTCATTTCTCGATTATAAATATCAAGATCAAATGTTTGATGATAGAACACAATTCTTTGTTTTGAGATTCAATCTTTAACGACTCTACCTTATTTTCAACACAAATATAAATTAGCATATGTTATGCATATAAAAAATCTTCTTACACTTAATTTTTCGACCATGTCAGATTGTTGTGTATAGTGTGTAGTGGACCGTGCACATATAAACACACACATATATATGTATATGTCGTGCCGAAGTTATAACTTCGTCATATAATTGTGTCAAAGTTACTTTAGTTCAACTGAATAAAAAATAATTATCAATTACTTGATGATATAACAAATGTTATACATATATTTACAATTATTTTTTCACTTTAAAAGTATACATACCATTACTCCGAATATATAGAAAAAAGTCATTAAAGAATAAATTAAATTGTTTTTGTTAAAACTTTATATGATTACTAATTTATACTGATGATACTGACACCTGTAACTAAAAAAAGAGATCTGTAGAATACTATACTCTAAGTTAAACAACACTTTAACTTGATACTAATAACAAAAATATTATAGTTAAATGCTCACCAGAGCCAGACTCACACTGAATTGCAAAAGAATTTCACCTAACTGGATTTCTTAATACCACCTCTCAGTATTACATATGTATCAGTCCGATATAAATTCTACCAATGCAACAAATCTCAAAGAAGAACATATTAGACAAGCTCCATAGTAGCAGTAGATAAAGCAGTAAGGTGTGGGTGTGAGTGCGGATCTTTTGTGTATCCTGACCGAAACTCTAATTCATGCACCGACACTCAGATATCCACATCCCAGAGATGCACATCAATATATTTAATTGAAGACAGCCACATATATAATGAAGAAGTTATTAATTTTACGATTCTTTTTGTTCCTCCAAAATAAGCTGAATCATTCCAGATTCATCATCGATTTTAATCACGGCTTCTTCAACTAGCTTCTCCAATAATATTCGATTTCTACTCAATTTAATTGCATCGATGAAATTTTCGTCGTTGAAATTTTGTCTTTGATGATCACATCCAATCTTGAGTAGAAATTTCACTATTCTATGTCGACAACCACGAACTTTGAGGCAGACATAGAGTAATGGATCGTTCCCATTATCGTCTAATTGACGGACGAGAAAAGGCGATAATTGCAATAGTTTTTGAAGCAGTTTACGTTCTTTCTTCTGCAATAGTACAAAGAGCAATTCTTTATCGGTAAAATAAGTTGCTAATGGTTTCTCCTCCATGAGTATATAAAATAGTTCTCGTCCTGTTCGATTTCCTGTCATTAAATTGAGCTTTTTTCGAAGATTATTTCTTGACTGATTAAAGAAATGTCGTACATGTTCAATTCGACGATAAAGTTGTAGAACAATATCAAGTCGATTCTTTTTGATTAAACTGCTTAGAATTGATTGGAATTTTTCATTTAAATGTTCATCCCATGGTGTTGTTACGATTGAAACATAATTATCAATGATAATATTTAACATTTCATCTTGAATAATCTTGATTAAGATTCCATTCTTTTCTGTTAGCTCAATCGAATAAATCATATCCAATATATCGAAAATACTTTCTTCAGCCCAACGTTGAATATTGAACGCCTGTTTTTGACAATGTATAGAAAAAAGAAGTAAATCTACTACAGCTTGATAACACTTCATATTAATAGAGACATCAGGTGGCGTATAATAAAAATATTGTAGTTGATAGACAGAATAAAAAAGAAAATACCAGACATTGCAACCACCATTACCAGTATAACTTCGATTATTTAAAAGTCGAATATTCGAAATGATAAGTGCTTTGAACATTTGAGTAATCGAATAGATGAATAATGGTCTTGCAGCATGAACATTATTAAGATTGATAAGCAACAATTTATTGATGGCCATAGCAAGATTGTATTGATTTAACTCATTGTCAGGACATTCAAGACGAGCACCTCTACTGAAGACTAATGTTTTTATTGTTTTGATCCAATCAATAGTGATAGAGTTGTCTCGTGATTCGTTGAAAATTTTTTTCAGTTGCCTATCTGCCTCCACTATCTCGTTCGTGGTGAAATGCTGACGTACATATTGAAATTTGTTCAGAATTGATTGGACTTGATCTTCTAATTGTGTATACTGTTGTCTAATATAAAAAACAATTAACGAATGAAAACATTGATCAAGTTTCTGTTCGTTAACTGTAGTATTTACGAATGACAACCAGCGTGATATATCTCGAAATACTACAGAATTATAGTAATCATCAAATTTTGCAGCATGTATACCAATATGTAAGAAATCAGCAAGTAAATGCAAGCGTTTATCAATCAGAATGTTGTTGAGACGTTGATTCAATCCGAGAAATGTTTGAAATATCTTTTTAGCATCACCAGAATAACTGAAAATAAGCATTAAAACTTCATCAGGCAATGTTTCGAAGGTTGATAACATGCTGTATATGTTTTCTTCTCAATGTCGAATAATAGTTGTTTTGCGTATTCTATCTTCACGAGTATGTGTAATTGCACAATATATTGACTCAATTTGTCAGACTGTTTTTCTTCTCTATTCTCTGATTTCGCATATACTTATCTATTCGTAGTTTATCATCCACTCAAATTATTTTATACCCATTAAAGATATATTCTATGTAGTCTCATGTGTTAGTATTTGCATCACAGTTGAATTTTTACTTGAAAGTGTAAAAAAAATCCTTGAAGAATGTTGTTTGACTAACACAAATTGCTTCAATGAAAATTTTAATGTAAATGTATTCGCTCGGTAAAACTATTGAACAGAATCTTATATTATGATTATTCATTCTGTACTACCGTAGATTGTCGGGCATTTTCTTAAAATAATCTGTGTACAACATTAACCATACGCATTAAGAACCTATGAATTCGCTAGACGTTGATTTCTAGTTCTACCAAAATGTTTGGAGTAAAAAGTTTGGACTTGTTACATCTAAAGGATGTGGGTGTATGGTGTTGAGTGTGGGTCTGGAAAGAGTGTCGGTATCTTTGAACTGAAAATTCACATCCACACCCGAACTATTTTTGCTCAAAATTCCCTCCCCCCCCCCCCCCCCCCCACTATAGAACGGCAAGTGACTGCAAAATTGATTACAACCAATAAAACGAATTAACGCCGAGTGAGAATAACAGGGAAGAAATGCAATTAGGAAAAAGTGAGACATTCACTTCTTTTCTGGCCAAACGAATGCGGAAAAAAAATGTTGCAAAGGAAAAGAATAGAATCGAATTTCAAGTGAATCAGTAATAGCAAGCTATCAGGTACAGGCGGCTAACAGAACAATATAAAATGAACGAATGATAAAAATCTTATTCGGATATTAATCTATGAAATCACTTGTTCATTAGATCTATAGAAGAATTGCATTACCAGCAGTCCTAGAGATCTTTCAATGCTATAGAAGTATTTCGAAGTGTCCAAAATTTGTTACGATTGTAAATTGAAAATTCTTCCTGCAATCTTTTGTTTGTATTACACAAAAATGTCATGAGACGATTCTAATTCTCTACTCATATGAGATAGATTGGACTAATCCAGATTTTTTTCTTTTACCTTACGATATTTTTCTCCATTGCATTCCACAAAGATAGCATTCTGAAAAAGGAGACATATTCTCAACGATCATTTTTCATCCTACTGCCGAATATGTATTGGAATGCTAGCCAAGAAAACTGAGAGTTACTCATCAATCTACGTTGCTTTTTCTTCTGTTTACTCATTGTATTTTTCGTGATGAAAAAAAGGTGCTTGCGTCAAAACACATTCATTCCTGAGGATACTACTCGTTTTCTTGCGTTTCTTTTTGTTGACGAATATTGATTGTAATAGTACAACGCCTTGCATTTACGTGTTTAACTGCCACGTATTGCATTATGCACGTGGACATGAAATAATTTCGCTTTTTGTAATATATACATTCAGACATGTCTCGCTGTCCTCGACAGATCTATGGTAATATCAGCTCGAAATGAAATGCCTAATCTCCGTCACATTTCTATCTGGAAGAACGTTCCAAGATTTCTTGAATATACACGAAACCTCGAAATGGATCAAATTCAAACAGTTGACCTCGGTGGTAATTTCGTTATTGAAGACGATGATATCGTCGATTCGCTTGGTTTTCTTTTTCCACGTGTCGAACGTTTACGAGTATCACTCATTCACCTCTGTGTGAATCTCGATCGTCTCATGGATAATTTGAAATATCTTGCTCAAGTATCGTTCTTTTGTAATCAAATGCATGGCATCGATCGACCAGAACAGCTTGAATCATTGAAAAGGTGATTCTCACAAAAAGCAATTCGATTTGTCGATACGATCGATTGTTAAGACCGATACATGTTTGGATCGTCGATAGGTTAGAAGAGATATAAGTTCTTCTCAAGATGTTGAATATATATGTGACACTGATTTTCATGTTTGATGAAGCAGTTTTTTTGTTGGATACATTAATACTGCAATGTGTTTCAAATATACTATGTATTAAGTCATTGACATCTCTCTGAACATAATAGGGAAACATGGATTTTGAATCCGGCAAAAGAATTTTAGACATAAGAGGCCTTCAGATGTATTGGATTCATATGGTGGACTCGAAGACACACAGTTACATTTGAGAATAAGACGCGTTTAAAGACTTCCTTTCCTGTGAGTATGTCGACGAGGGCGTGCGCAAAACGTGTACAATAATATCTGTTTTCTGATGTAGTTGAAATGATGAGGTCCTGAAAAAAATTAACCGATGGAGCGAGAGACGTGACATAATTTTGTTATTAATTGTACCTTATTCATTACTGTTGTGTAGATTTAATTTACAAAAAAGAAAAAAATTTGAACACTAATTAGAATTAACATTTCAATTCTTCATAGATCTATTCCTCTAACTCATGAATATTGACAATACTATTCTCTCTTTGGGTGTGGGTATGTCAATGAAATTCTCATACCCACACCAACCATGTATGCAAACAAATATGAACTAGCGTTTGCTTCAAGACAACTAAGGTAAGTTTTGGGATAATGATATATGTCCTGGAAATTCACCCGATCTCAATTTGACAGCACATATTGGAATAATAATCAAACGTGAAGTTGAAAAAGATATTATCAGAATCTGAGCGTAATTTTTATCGTTGGAGAAACACTTGACATGCAAATTTCAAGTGTTTTGACAAGTATGAAAATAAATACTGAGCTATTTGAAACTCTTCTCTGTTCATACATACGTTGACTTCATCCAGTAAGACACGCTAACAGTCGTCAAACTGATTATTGATTGCATTCATTAAATGATGACAAAATAAACCTAATTTTGTATTACATTTAGTTCGAACTTTATCTCATGAATAATTTTTCTCACATCTATCACCAGTTAAATATTACAAAATTCGAGAGTTCGATATACAAAAGTCTTCATAATCCTTATTATTTAATACTAATAAATACCATTTTCGATGAGCTTTCATTTGACGTAAATCTTATTGTTTAGTCTATTTGAAATCATATCGGTGTCGTCCTGGAAAAATATTATCTTCTAGTACATAGTAGTCCTCTGCTTTGTTGTCCTAAGACAAATGTATTTTGATGTTTCTGCGATATAGGACATTCTTTCAGAAATGGAATAACAGAAAAAATTACAGATATGGGTGCGAGTCTTGAATTCGACTTCTGAACCTTTCAGCCTACTTGATCAATTTTTTGCGAATATTAATGAAAAAAATATTTCATATCCAATAATAACGATAAGATATAAACTGACTTCGGACACAAACTTTCCATGTTGGATTATTGTTGATCAAGGTTTTTAACCAATAATAAAAGTGATTACCTTTGGTCTAGTCTATATTGTTTTCTGATTGACTTAGATAAACTTTCTGAATTAAGAAACTTTCGACGACACAACCCTTTTATTTCAGAAAAAGAGAACATAGTAAGAGAGATAATTTTGCCATCTCGTAAATCACTAATAATTAATAAGATTCAATGAATATAATCACGACGCATTTGATTATCTTTCGATTGCCAATTCTTAACAACTACATTCACATCTACACCCACAGCTTGATTAACCGAACTTTCATAGGAAAGAAGAAGATTAAAGGACAGTTTCCATAGTTTCTTCTCATAGCATTATCTACTAGGTTTGTTTTTGAGTCAATCATTTAAATAGACAATTCATCTAGCACATATTTAGCAATGATGTCAACTCTACGCTCCATTTAGATTTTATTCCTATTAGAACGTAAAAAAAATATGAAAGAGAATTCATTCCTACTCGTTGGATCTTTTTTCTTGTTGATATTTCGTTCCGAGAGAAAGAACAATACAAAAAAAACAGCCACAGTCACTGCTGTCGTCGGTTCATACACTTTCACACAAGCGGTTGTTTAGAAAAGAACGATTTAAACATCATCAGAACGTGATTGAAGTAAAAGAGAAAAGTCGGATGCCTTTTTCTTCGTGCATCAGTTCTTTGCATTTCGTTGTCAAGAACATTGATTACGCATGTGCCACCATTGGAGAGAACAGAATCACCTTCCTTCATCACAATACTTCTTACTAAAGCAATCAAAGTGAAAATAGAGAGAGTATAAACAGCATGGCATCAATGATGAATTGTCGAACATCATATCGTCAAAAGCGAATTGTTGGTAGCATTTTTTTAATTATCAGCTTGTTTCTTATCTATATACAATGGCAACATGATATCAACTCATCGTGTGTATTGGAGAGCATTTCACCGAAATGTCAAAAGTGGTGTCCTTATATTTCTAAGCTTCAACGAGATCGGCTCACATTTAATTTTACACACTCTGTTCGTCATTTTCCCGATTTTGTTTGTCCACAAAATTTTCGAAATCTAGCTGATTGGATTTATGAGTGGCCGAATCAATTCTTTGAAAATATTGAAGTGACGACGGACGACGGAAAACAAATTGCTCCTTGTTTGCCTCGAGGCAGTATTATCTATGTACGTAGTTCGTCGATCGATAAATTCTTCGATAAAGTCTATCCACATTTGATCAACGATTTCGTCTTGATCACTGGTGAAGGTGATGATTCGTCACCGAGTGATTTATCTTATCTCAATCGACCTGATTCGAAAATTATTCACTGGTTTGGTCAAAACGGACGAATTCACGCAGGAAAGAATTCTAAATTCACACAGATTCCAATCGGTAAGAAGAAAAATACATTGATAAATGCGAGAACAGTCATCATCTAATGACATTCTGTTCTTCTCTGACATTGAAGTTCAGATATTTTCGACCAGAATCAATATGAGAATCGAAGTTTTCATAGAATAACATAATAAATGTTATCTGAAATTTCAAACTGGACTTTTTACTACTAAAATTTGTTCCTAACAGTGCCCAGATTTTTTTTCTAATAACGATCCAACAAGATTCGATATATAGTATAACTAACTTGATTTCAGTGCTCGCAAATGACATTAGCAAATGGAAAATATCACTGTTATAAAACCTTTCTTATCGAAGTCTCTTCCTGATGAACATGTAAGATTAGATATTCTTCTGTATAGGACGTAGGAAAGAAGGGTACTTTAACTCTTCTCCTACTCAGGAGAAAAGCTCCTATAGGTGGGTACGGGTACATCATTTTTTGCTCAGTAGAAGGCTTGTTGTGTATCGACCAACCTATCTAGCACATAGACCTTGGACTTATAACAGATCTATCCAAAGTTTTGTGAAAATATGTGTGTGTGCACTTCTTGTCCAAGTGAAAACATTTAAGAAGAATCAGAAACCTATTCGTTAGAATAGGAATCTGATGTTCTTTCCAAATATGAGATTAGGTATTCTTTTTCAGATTTCGTTCGAGAATAGTAAAAGAATATTTGAGAGTCTTGAAAAAAAGAGTTTGTACAGAAATTTTTCTTCGTATTGTCACTATTCGGATCCGAAATCTAACGTTGCAATCTTCTTTAATAGATCAGCTTGTCAAGCATATCTAATTAACAAAATGCATTATTCCATTTTCTTTTATTTTTTCGATAAGATGTCGAGATATGTTATTTTCTCTTTAGTTTCACTTTTGAAAAATCGGCTTTTTTTTATCAAGCAGTATCGTATGTATAGAAAGTGATGCTTGAGAAAATGATTCTAATTTCATTTGGGTCAAATCTACATTTTAACTCAACATTTTGTACGGAGCTGTATGTTCTACAAAACTACCAATTCAATCACTTTTAGGACTTGTGAAAAGGAACTTACAAACGCCGCAAATACATGTTTGTCCTCTCCTCAAACGTATTTTGCAGTGTGTTCAAAGACTCTTATTACTTCTACAGAAAAATAGATACAAAATTTTTGAACTGATATTGGGAAACGACACGATATTCTAATTGTAACTCATACTCTTTCATTCATCTAGAATACTTTCCAGTAGACCCAAAATAAACAATATATTACCTAGAAACTTGAGCGCGATCGTTCCATCCGAACTATTGTTTCAAGGCTTTCAACAATTTTCTTACTACTTTTGAGCAAAATTTGACAAAGAATATCTTAGTTCATATTCGGAAAGAGCATCCAATTTTAGTTCTGACCCATAGTTTTCGACTCTTCTGAAATGTAACAACAAATGGATACACATGAGCCCCCATGGCATCTGAAACTAGGCATGTACAAAACCTAAACTCAAAGTTCAGGGTTTTGGTACATGAACACTCGAAAACTAGTTTCGGTTTATTCCATACTTTTATCGTACAATGTTTTCCCAGCTATATTCCCTCTCCAAGTATACCTCTTTCCTTTTACAAGAGAATGTCGATATATACAGATGTAATCAGAACTTAGTCAGCAGGTCAAATAGAGCAGAAAGGGTATAGCACATACAACAGACAGTATGATGATCAATTATTATCACATGAAATATTTTCATTTGGATAAAATAAATGTGCCAACATTTTGTCTCAAAACTTTCCCTTTGTTTCTTATAAGATAGAGAGAATAAATGAGAAAGGCGGAAGGGAACAAATAAGGAATGAAGAATAAAGAGAGAGAAGGTGATGATATTATGAGAGTACTACGAGTATTGGCACAATACGTGTAAGGTACTAAATAGAGATGACTTCATGCGGTTTTTGAATTAAAATTTAGTGCTAATGCTTATTTACCAAAGAAATCACAAATTTTTACAAAGCTATAAGTATCTACCAAATCTTACATTTTAGCGTGGACTAAGGTATCATATTTTCTTCTGTTATGCTTATAAGACATTTCTTTATTGTTGACATTATAGGTATCAATTGTTACGAAATGGCTGATGCGATAAGAAGTATCCAAACAAAAATACATACCAGCCGTTCATTTCCACCAGTATATGGTGATAGTGATGAACCCGCACATTATATCGATCTGTTAGATATGACTAAACGAGTTCTATCTGCTCCTGGCATCGATCAAAATCATTTGGCATTGATCAATTTCCATCCTGATACAGATAAAACAGGACTTCGTTCGCGTATTTGGTCAGATATGTGTAATCCAGATAAACCGGTTCCTTTTGTCAAATGTATCAAGAAACCCTCGGGTGTTCATATTTTCAGGATAGTGAGAATCTATGCACGCAATCGTCACTATCCATTTTGGATATCACCACGTGGCAATGGCATTGACTGTCATCGGACTTGGGAAGCACTTTATCTTGATATCATACCCATTGTATGGAACTCAACATTGAATAGTCTCTACGCAAATTTACCTGTAGTGATTATTAATAATCATACAGATCTAACCGAATCATTTTTACGTGATCAATTACAAAAAATTGCAACGAAAAAGAAAGCACAATCGAATTCATCATCATCATCATCATCATCCGAACGCTATCAATATGAAAAACTACGCAATGCCTTTTGGAGGCGGATGATTTTGAGCAAGTCAAGGTATGCAACAAAAATATTCGATCTGACACATCAGCGACGATGTTGGCGAGCAAAAAGCACCTGGTTAGAATGGTCTCGCTATGTTCCATTTTTGAAATATTTTTAACGAATTCATAGAATCCTTCCTTGTTCTCAGCTTGAAAAGCTGAGTTTGATTGCATCAATGATGATTTTACTGGAATCATCGTTCAAGTAACACTGATTATACTTTGCCATGCAAACTCACAAAAACTGCTCATATTCATTTCACTTGTACATTGTCAAACACTGAATAAATATTCATGAATGTTATGAAGTGTTTCTCGTGGTCGAAAATGGAATAAAGGTGTCAAC